TAAATACATACCAGTTGCCAAGTGCCCGAATTTTGAACGTGACCGCGGGGTCACTGTGACGGTTGTAAGTGGGAGGACCAGTCATAAGTCACTTCAAGTCCACACATCTTCAAGCTGCCAAGGTTGAGAAACTCTGTCCTAGAGTTTGTAAATTAATACATAGAAGGCTGTGAATGCCAGCCTATGGCTAACCTATGGCTAATTCAGCTGTGATTTCGAAACACTGTCCTAGAGTTTGTAAATTAATACATAGAAGGCTGTGAATGCCAGCCTATGGCTAACCTATGGCTAATTCAGCTGTGATTTCCTAAATCGACCCAATTCAAAGGTGTTAAACAATGGGGCCTTACTCAACAAGCCATGATTAAACAAACCATGATTACTGCAACATGGCTGGCTGGGGAATTCTGGGAGTTGAAGTCCACACATCTTCAAGCTGCCAGGGTTGAGAAACACTGATCTAGGAGAAGTTTTCTGGCTGATGAGCGGAGCATAAATATGTTCAGTAAGCAAACAAAGGTTATCTAGCCAGACCCTCTTTCCCACACAGCAGTTAATTACTGGCTTCTGGGACATGGGATGCGCTATTTTTTCCAGGGGTGAAAGGCTGCATGTCAGCCACACTGGAGATGGGGGGACACACAAAAATTATGTGGCTGAGGCTTGGAGAAAAATTCCATTTGAGTTAGTTAAACCAAAATGAATTAAGCCGTGCTTGTTATTCTTTGTGTTTTTTAATTGTGGGGCTTTAAAATCACACTTTGGTGGCAGAATCATGGGGGCTTTGAGGAGAGGCTCCAGGTGGTGCACCGTTTCCTAACGTGTGCAAAAATGAGGACTTTTGACCGCTGCTTGTGAGCTATGACTGTCCTAATTCATTGATTTCCAATGTGATCTAGATGTCACTGGTGGTGCCCACAAATGTAAATGTAAATGTATCTTTCAGTGGTCAAAATCGTGCAAGATCATCTGATCTTATTAGATGCTGGCATTCTACCTGAAATCTCACAAGAGTTTGCTAACCGGCCCCACATTTTACAAGATTCCAGGCTGGAATTCCTAGAACGTTGTGAGATTTGGTGACCTCCCAAGATTGCAACTTTAAATCAAAATTATTTTTAGTTTTGGAGTCTTGCAGACTTCATCTCAGGAATAGATACATGGGCGGTGTGCCTGAGGCACCATGTTGCCAACCCATAGAGGTGGTGGTGATCTTCAGAGGGTTTGGATGATGCTATCATGACTACATGAAATAAACGCTTGGGAATGGCCGCCCTTGTTGACATCCTGTGTCTGTGGTCTCTTTCAGAAATTGGTGTTCGTACACAGTCACCAAGACGGTTTCCTGCCACATCCAAAATGGAACCTATCTCCAGAGAGTTTTCCAAAGTTGTCGCTGGCCCATGAGCTGTTCAGGGGGCAGGTGAGGACTCAAAAGAAAGAGGAACATTAACATCTCCCAAACCTACTTGCTCACCATGTCTTCTCACCTTTCCAACACAAAAACAGAGTTGTAGATGACTGCTTCTATCTACTTCCCCAATTGGCCTTCCTCCCGGTTGGTGTCCTCCAGATGTGCTAGACTTCAGTTCTTGCACCTCCTAGCCAGTGCTGGCTGGGGATTTTAGGAGATGAAGTCCAACATATTTGGAAGGCACAAGGAGGAATGATTGTTCCAAACAAGGCTTGGATATAAGAGCTGTAAATGCCCCCTGCCAACGCTGAATGTCACTTGCTGCTTTTGTAAGCACCAAAGCTGGTCAAGAAGAATTAGACACCTTGGGAATTTCCTCTCTGTTCATTGGTTTTACAAGCTGGAATCCATTACCTTCATGAACTTCTGCCAGGATCCCAGAAGGAGACCAGTTTGGACAAAGGGGATGAGCAATCTTTAATGTTTTTTAAAAAGGTTTTTCTGGAGATGAAGAGGTCAAAAAAAGTCCAATGCTTAGTCCCAAGCTTTGAGCAGCTATAAACCCCCAGAGGACCCTCTGTGCATAAACTGTGGCAGACTAAGCTTGTTCTGTTTCTGGAAATCTGGCCATTTCTGCAAGGCCGTACTCACCTTTGTAAATCTTGTGAAGATTAGGTGGTTTTTACAATGTGAATTTGTTTATTTAAATACTTTTGCATTTGGCAAGAGCTGAAGGAGAGCATAGCATCTTTTCTCTGGATGACCCACCCGCTCTGGTGTTTCTCAAGAGTTTTCTTCCTTT